GAAAGGCTGAAAAACTTAAAGCAGCTTGATCTAAGACTCCTTTAGATTAGTCCTCTCATTGAAAGAATTAAAATTGGGAGAACAGCTTGATTAGAAGTTTAGCTTGGCACTGGCATTTCTCAGAGTGGCAGGACAGTTCATTCTTGTCTCTTTTACTGGGTCATTTTGGTCAGTTGTGTTAAATGGAGTGTTTGCTCTGTTCAGACCCTGCTGGGCCATGAGGATGGGGTCTGAAATTCTGAATATGCATGCAGGCTAAGAGCTGGATTGATTTTATTTAGTTCAATCTTATTTCAAATGGTAATTGATGGAAGCTAGATTAGAAGTTTAACTTGGTACATTTTCTCAGTGTGACAGGTCTCGTTCTTGTCACTTTGATTGGGTTATTTTGGTTGTGTTGACTGGTGTGTTTGCTCTGTTCAGACCCCGGCCATGAGGCTGGGGTCTGAATATGCATGCAGGCTGAGAGCTGGATTGATTTTATTTAGTTCAGTCATAATTATTATTTCAGTTGTTAATTGATGGCTCATGCTCGCCCCCACAATGTTTACATTCACCTAGTTAGAGTAAATGAAAGGGATTGGAAACTTCCGCGTGGGTTTTTGACCACAAAATTCTTGATTTTTTCCATTAAAATTAGAATAACTCCAACAAGAGTGCTCTGATGAAAAAGAAACTCAACTATCAAGGAGTTCAATGTTTTGCAATGTTAATTATTATTTATTTGGAATATTTAGATTAATATTTCGAGTGTTATAGCGCTTTTGCCCATAAAATTGCTGTTTTCTCCCTCTAATAAAGACATTTGTAGCTAAACTCTAAAAAGCTTGTCAGAATATAAAAGAACTTTCAATTACCTATGGAATGATATGAGGCAACACTAGAATAGCAAAAGCATGAAAGCTGTAGAGGCGGAAAAGTGTCAAAAAATATGCCGACTTTGTGTACCCATAACTGGTCGAAAAATAGCTTTATAGAAACAAAAACCTTGCTATAGGTAGCCATAAACTTTCTATGTGGAACAGAAGATATATCATAAGCAAGCGCTATCTAATAGTCACACAATATTCCTTCGAGATCCTTTCCGCACAACAACTACTATGGAGGAGATGGGGAATGAGATAAACACGGACGTTGCCAACCAGGTAACCAGGGGTGACGAAAACCGCATTACCGGCCGGGAACGGTAGTTTCCAATCCCTTTCATTTACTAAACCACGCCCGCCCGCCCATTCTAATCATGTCCGGAATTGAAACAAAACTTTAGTTTCCGTAAACTTAAACTTAGAGGAGGAGAAAAAGGAGGAGTTTCGGGACTCTAAACACTCAAAATAAAAATGAGTCGAATGCACATGATATACGATGATACCCTGTTACAGCAGGAGGGGGTGAAGGTCAGTAAGTGGAAGAGCGAGTGGAACTCGAGCCAACTTCAAAGGTAACTTGTATAATACATGTATTTCTAATTAATGCTCATCTCTTGTAACCAGTGGTAGGGGTATACTGCTGGAGGGTGTGTTTCATAAGAAGACACGACACATTATACAAGACACTAGCAATAAAAAGGTAATCATAGTTTTAGAAATTGTAGTATTTACCCTGTACATGTACATGTATGTGTACATGAAGGGATACATTGTCACTAGTCTTGTCGCCCAGCCCCACCTACTGCCGACTTGCAAGAGCTGCTTATAGATACTGTGTACATGATAATATAATTACTTGATATAATATAATTGCTGATAATTACCAGCAATATTGCATGATATTGCTGGTAATTGTAGATTTGGTGAATTGCTAAATTTTGGTGATTTGATTGGTGTTATCAAAGTCACCAAAGCACACCAAGCTCATTGGTGTTTGGCGAATTTGTGGCAATGTACCACTGAGCATGCACTCCTTGTAAAAATAATGATTATCAATAATTATTATTTAATTACATGTACATTATTTTTTTGTAGTATCGTTTTTGTGTCTTCCATATTGAATTTGATGGTGCTTGCCAGAGAAAGTTTGATGCTGAAGGCAAAGAAATTGAACCGAACTTTGGACAAACGGCTAAAGTAAAAACCGGCTACCTAAACTCATCATACAGTAAGAATTGGAAGTCGTACATGTACATAAATATAGTGACCAGTGTGTCTGGAGGTGTGTGTGTATAAGTAATGTAATACCTGAGGACTGAGATATCTGCTTGAGCTGAAGCTGAGGGCAGATATCAAGGGACTCAGGTATTACATTACCGATACCGTATAGTGGGAAATTTTGGAGGGAATTAAATTTGGTAAATTTGGCATTTTGATAGCCATTCGCCAAAATAAAACCCACCATTTTGAGTAATTATACACATGCTCAATGGCACATGGCCACTAATTCGCCAAATTAAAATCCGCTAATTACCAAAATTTAGCAATTCGCCAAATTTTAGTCCTTCCAAAATTTTCTGCTATACGGTACTCACCTCCAGACACACTAGACTTCACTTCTTCCATTAACCATTATTTATTGTTGCCATAGAAACTGTTGCCAAGGGAACACCTGACACATTGAGTTATGCTGAAGTGTGTGAAAGAGTTCATTCTGATCTGGTTGGATTTGAGACAGCGAGTCATTCTCAATCGATTTGTTTTTGGGGAGAGAATGAGAGCTATGATCATGTGGAGTGTAGCCCAGGACAAAGAATTAGACTAAAGACAAGAGGAGACTCTCTACTGATAGGTGAGGGAGGAAGTACATGTACTTTTAGTACCGTACAAGATGATTTAATGGTGAGAGCAATATTTGGTAAATTTGCCTGTGGAAAGTTAATTGGTGAATTTTATATTGGTGATTTTGTGCCACATTCCATTGAGCATGCTCAGATTGAAACAAAAATGGCGGATTTATTTTGGCAATTTTTTCATAAATCCGCCAATTGCCAATTATTAATTCCTCGCCAATAAATCATCTTGTACGGTATATTGTAGCTGCTCACCACATCTCTTAATATTTTCCTTTCTTCCCTTTTACATACACAATGTACATGTACATGTACATGTATGCACAGATTGCACACATACACACACCCTCTCTTTCTCCTTTGTTTTATTTCTTCTGTATAACACATCAACATGTACATGCATTTACATGTATTTATGTGTATGTACGTGTATTGCACGTGTATTGTACGTGTTTCATCTCTTCTCTCCTCTCCCTAGAATCATTCACAAAGCTGGATAGTGATCAGCGAGCTCATTCATCAAACTACACTGGAGGGGAGAAGACAGGACAGAGCTGGACTGATAAGGTACTCGGACACAAATCAACTGATGAACCCAGCCAGGGAACAGGAGGAGGAGGAGGAGGGGAGGTTGATGATGATGAATGGGTGAGGATATTCTTATCTTATGTTCTTGTACATTGTGAATTACATCTACTATTATTTTAGATACCTGCATGAGCATGTGCATGTACACATTAGTGTTGTGCAGTACTCTATTTTCTGTTTTAGTTCTAGTTTTAGTTCTACCAACTACTCCATTTCTACTTTTAGTTCTAGTTTTAGTCTTACCAGTACTCCATTTCTAGTTTTAGTTCTAGTTTTAGTTCTACCAGTACTCCATTTCTAGTTTTAGTTCTAGTTTTAGTTCTACCAGTACTCCATTTCTAGTTTTAGTTTTAGTTTTAGTTTTACCAGTACTCCATTTCTAGTTTTAGTTCTAGTTTTAGTTCTACCAGTACTCCATTTCTAGTTTTAGTTCTAGTTTTAGTTTTACCAGTACTTCATTTCTAGTTTCAGTTCTAGTTTTAGTTCTACTAGTACTTCCGTTTTAGTTTTAGTTTTAATTTTAGTTCCATGCCAAATTCTGATTCTGGCCTTATAGTTCTAGTTTTAGTCCTACTAATACACCATTTCTAGGTGATTTTTATAATTTTTTAATGAAATTTAATTTTAATAACTTAAAAGGGTAGCATTTTAGTTCTAGTTTTAGTTTTAGTTATTCAAAGTGGTACCATTTTAGTTCTAGTTTTAGTTTTAGTTATTAAAAGGGCTCCATTTCAGTTCTAGTTTTAGTTTCAGTTATTAAAAGGGTAGTGTTTTAGTTCTAGTTTTAGTTCTAGTGATTTAAAAGTGCACATTTTAGTTTTAGTTTTAGTTTCAAGTCCTTAATAGCTAAATCTTTAGTTCTAGTTTTAGTTCCAGTGCTTTAATTTGTCAAATTCTAGTTTTAGTTCTAGTTTTGGTTCTTTGTATCAATGTAGTTCAGTTCTAGTTCTAGTTCTTGGAACTAGAACTAGGAAAAAAATAGGTGTACTAAAATAGATTTAGTTCTAGTTCCGTTGGAACTAGCACAACACTACAATAAACAGTTCATTACACATTGTTAGTGGATTCATACCACAATATCCTTCTAAATGACCATAACATAGTTTAGAAATAGACAATAAATTACCGTATACCGGTTTATTTTCATGGTAAAATATTTTCGCGAATTTCACGGTTTGGTGATCATTCGTGAAATTTTTTTACCTCAAAATTCTGCTCTTCATTGCCATGTGGTGCAGTCTGCAAGCAATTCACGAAAATTAATTCCGCTAAAACTTAGAAATGCAAGATTTCCACTGCAAAAATAAACTGGTACACAGTACATGCAGTAAAAGTAATGCCATTTTACATGTACATACAGTATATAGAGAATATTATTGGGAAAGGAATTTGTTTCTGTAAAGAAATACCTAAAATACAATTCACCATCTTTCATTCTGCACACTGACACATGGTTGTAAAATCACTATAGCAATGATATTTGGCAATTTCTAACTATATATTACAATATTTCCAGCTACAAGGTATAACTACAGACTGTAAGATTGGGCTAGCTCAATTATAATCGTACAGTAAACAATGAGAATAATATAATAAAGAACACAACTGACTAGAATAAGAGTCAAAGAGTAGAAGAGAACGGAAGAGAGAAAGAGAACCATGAAGTATAATAATAATCATAACAATACACACCTATTTATATACATGCATACAGGAAATGACAAATAATACATCACACAGAAATAATAATGAATTCTATTAATGATACATAATTATCCCACACAGACATAATTACGAGTAACATTAAATTACAAATGGTACACAGCTACACATTGAATTCAATACAGACAATATGTAATATTTCTCTTAAAATCTTGACACAATTATTCAAACAAATTGCCAAAGACTTACCTTTATCAGGAGATAATTGTTTTTTATTTGTAGGTGGGCTGTCATGGGCTGAGTCATTAAAAGAGGTAGTCAATGGGGGAGCCTCGGCTATAGTTAAATAAAATACATAAAGCAGTGAAAAGTACACTCACCAGGAGTGTCTTCAGAGCCACCAGTCTCAGGCTATGAAAGAAGAAGAATAGCAAAAGAAGAGTAAGAGAAAGGAGCAAATGATAATGTCATGCATGATGGAGGGCCAGGGGTTGTGCAGTGTAATTTAATCCTTTTGCATAACAATGGATGCTGTTCTTATATAAGAACACATAGGCAGCTCACTGTATATAGTACCAACTACATGTATGTAGCTAAATACCTTAGGGTGGGTATTAATTGAGACACTTAATTTTAGCGTTTTTAGCGAGTGTACTTAAAACGCTAATTCAACCAGCCGCTAATAATAGTTAAGCTAGGTTCAGAATTCTTGCGTTGCGACCGGAAGTGCTGTATAACGCAATGGTAAAACGCAAGAATAGAACTAGGTTAAGCTAGGTTCATAATTCTTGCGTTGCGACCGGAAGTG